GTGCTGAGTTCCGAGGTGAGAGGAGGAAACCAAGCCCTCAGGAGGAGGTGATCGAGGAATGTGGAGCAGGCTGGCACACCAGGAACCCACTCTGGGCTGCACATGGCTGGAGACAACCTGCAGAGCTCTTGAATTATTAATGCCAGCTTGAAGGAGTTCTTTGCATTCTGCTGCTTCTCTTGCTGTGGAGAAGCACACGGAGATTATTTTTTTTTCCTTAACAATTTATTTATCTTAAACTTTACATTAAAAAAAAAATTTTCCTTGAACCTGAAAGCTCTTCTTTTCAGGTGCTTTGTTCCCCTGGCTGGGTGAGAATCCTGTCCAGGTGGGATAGGGAGGGAACCATTCCTTCAGGAGCCTGGCACTGGGTCTGTGCAGCTGTGAGGGAGTGCAAGGCTTGGTCTGCCTGTTCAATACCTGCAGCCTTTTCTGATTTCAGAAACTGATTTCAGAACCTTCAGCCTTTTCTGATTTCAGACTGATTTCAGAACCCTCAGCCTTTTCTGATTTCAGACTGATTTCAGAACCCTCAGCCTTTTCTGATTTCAGACTGATTTCAGAACCCTCAGCCTTTTCTGATTTCAGAACCTTCAGCCTTTTCTGCTTTTAGACTGATTTCAGAACCCTCAGCCCTTTGTGATTTCAGACTGATTTCAGGCTGATTTCAGAAACTGATTTCAGAACCCTTAGCCCTTTCTGCTTTCAGACTGATTTCAGGCTGATTTCCACTGTTCCTCAGTGGAAGGTGGTGCCAGAGCCCCAGGGATGATGCAGGACAGATGTCACCACTTGTCACCTCTCAGCTGGGAGCCCAAAGAAAGGGAAGTTTGGCAAAGAGCAAACAGGAACCTCTGGTGTTGCAGAGGGAATGAACTGAGCCCAAGGGAGAACAATGTTTCCTCCTGTTAAATGTTGCTGTTCTGCTCTCTCTGGAGACCTCCTTGATGGAACATTTCATGGCAGCTCTCCAAAGGGGCCCACAGGCAGGAGTTACCTGAGGAACTCCTCACTGGTGGGGAAGAGGTTTGTGTTAAATCTCTAAATGTGGGTAGAGAAAAATGTGAAAAAAAGGCTTCAAGGAGGGAATGAATTTCCTGCACAAGCAGGAAACTGAGCCTCCTGGCTAGGGAAGGTTTTCAAATGAGACTCACACGAGGGTTTGGAATTTGGAAATTTGTCCCAGGATCTGTATTTAATGCTGATAAGTTCATCCTCAACTCTGTAAAATAACTTAGCCTCATATATTTCAGTTTAATGCTGACTTAATCTTGTGTTTGTATTAACTCCCAGAAGCAATTTGAACTCACTGGCATAAACCCAGGCAGGTTTCTAACACTTGAGTGTTCATCTGGGTAATGTTTAAGCAGAAAGTTTTCAGCTTGCAAATTGCAGTGTGAAAATCAAATATTAATGGGGTCTAAAACGTCCAGTCTGAGATGTGCCACAAAATGCAGAGTTTCTCATAAATGCACTGACTTCTTCTTGGTATTACTTGAACTGAGATATAAAGCAGCTCTGTGGCTCTGAGTTCCAGACCTGGTCTCACCCAGGCTGAAATCAATGTGTGCCTTGGTTCCAGCCTGGCCTGGAGCCACTCCAGGGATGCTCCAGTGCATCAGGTGGGCTCCCTGGGATCATAAACCTTCACGTTTTCAATCAAAGCCAGAACATAATGGTTTTTTCCCAGCTGAAAATACCTGCAGATATTGCACTGTATCACCTGCAGATCTGTTTGGCCTCTAAATGAAATAAGAGGTGAATTAGGAATATTTTAGAAGGTCTTTAGCATAAGATGTAAATTTTAGTGTCAAATGCTTTAATAAGCAGCTTCTCCCTGAGCAGACACAGAACTCCCTCTGCTCCCCCATCCCATTTCTGATGGATTGGGATGAATTCTCTGCCATCACTCCTCAGGAGGAGCATTTTGCCCAAGTGGATTTGGCCATTTCAGGATTGCAGGTTGTGACCCAGCGTTATTAAATCACGGCAAATGGGATGCAGTACAAGCTGGGGAGTTGTAGCCCATTTTTTAACATACAAATGACACTCCAAAGTGCAGAGCCCTCAGTAAGAGCTGCTGTGGTTTGAGCTTGAGCCTTTGCTGACAAGGCATTTTGGATATTGGTTTTCTTACAAACTCACCAAATGTTCTCCTGCTTCATTTTTTAATTCCAACAAAAATCCATGGAAATGTATTCTGATGGATGTACTCCTGAAACGGGGGAAAGAAAATTTCCACTGTCTTAATGACAGATGAGAATGTCCTCGTGCTGCTTGCATTAGGAACCTTTAAATATGCAGTGAAGTGTCTGGTGTGTGCCAAAAGAGTTCAGAAATGGGAAAAGCATTATTGGGGTTTTTTTTTTTTTTGATCAGTCACCTGCATTGTCCCCCCCAAACCCCTGCAGAGCCTGGGCTGAGCCCAGCATGGGCAGCAGGACAGGGATTGTCCCCTTTGCCCCTCAGGTGAGACCCCACCTGCAGAGCTGGAGCTGCTGCAGAGCCCAGGGGAGGCTCCAGGATGGTGCCAGGGATGGAGCAGCTCTGCTGGGAGGAGAGGCTGGCACAGCTGGCACTGCTCACCTGGGCAGGAGCTTTGGGGTGAGCTCAGTGTGGCCTCAGAGAGGCTGGCACAGCTGGCATTGTTCACCTGGGCAGGAAAAGCTTTGGGGTGAGCTCAGTGTGGCCTCAGAGAGGCTGGCACAGCTGGCACAGCTGGCATTGTTCACCTGGGCAGGAGAAGCTTTGGGGTGAGCTCAGTGTGGCCTCAGAGAGGCTGGCACAGCTGGCACAGCTGGCATTGCTCACCTGGGCAGGAGAGGCTTTGGGATGAGCTCACTGTGGCTTTGCAGGGGCTGACAAGAAATGCAGAGAGAGATTTTCCAAGGGATGGAGTGCCAGGCCAGAGGGCATGGCCTCCCACTGCCAGAGGGCAGGGCTGGATGGGTACTGAGGATAAAATGCTCCCTGTGAGCAGCAGTGGGAGGCAGAGGGATGGGCTGTGCTCTCAGGTGAGCTCCTGCCAGCACAGCACACGCTGTGCAGTGCCAGGCTCTCCATCCTTCAGGGCAGAGGGGAAATCGCCCCATTTGTCTCTGCGATCAATGCCTGTTCCTCTCGTGGCTTTGCTGTCAGTTTTCCAGGAGAAACACTTATTTAAAAGCCCGAACCTGGGAATGGAAAATAAATGCCAGCCTGTTCCAGATCAGCCACCAATCAGACGTTACCAGCAAAATACTGAAAAATAAGTCAGTATTAGAGTGCAAATGGGAAACAATAAATAAATGAGATGGAGAAGATTGCTTGGCAGGATACTTTCTCTTGCTGGAGTGATTTATGTGTTTCCAGGTCTAATAAGTCATTTTGTGTGTAGTTTTCTGTGTTTCCCTGGGGTGCTGAGTGTGTGTGTGGCAGCGTGGATGGCTCTGGCAGTGTTCATGCCCTGCTACCCTGCAGCTCCCTGGCTTCCCTGGGGGCTGCCAGTGCCTGGGCTGCTTGGGGAAGTGTCCCCAGGGCAGGGCAGGGGCTGTGCAGTGCCCACAGGGGTTTGGGTGCTGCTTTTGGGTGGTTTTGGATGCTCCATGGCACTATGAGCTGCTCAGGGCAGTCAGGGTCTGCAGGGCTGGGCTGCTCCTTGCAGCTGCTCCTGGCTCTGCTTTTTCTGGGGTGTCCCTAATGGTGACAAAGTGCTCTAAGGGACATGTCCTGAGTGCTGAGCTGCAGCTCTGGGCTTCCATGCCATCCGTGGGCACATCCTGATCAGGGAATTCCTGTTTCCATGTCCTGGGTACTGAACTGCTGCTCTGGGCTCCCACCCCATCCATGGGCACATCCTGATGAGGGAATTCCTGTTTCCAACCCTTGCTGCAGAGTGCTGGGTGATTCCTGGCACGAGGAGCTCCTCCAGGACTGCAGGGTTTGTTAGCCAGAGCAGGGCTTGGGATGAGGCCACAAACCACAGTTCTTGCTGGTTTTTTATTCCATGTTCCCATCACGGCCATGGGAGTGAGGAAACGCTGCAGGATTTCTGTCCTGGTCTAGAGCCTGTGAATGGTGTCTGGCTGCTCCAGTTTCTGGATAAATTACACATTTATGTGGCTCTAGGGTTTTCCCTAAGTGTGAAATTTGGGATTTTCTTCCCCTGCTGTTGAGGAGTGCACGGAGCACCCTAGGGAGGTGGGGATGTGGGTGGCCTTGCTGCAGGCAAGCCCTGAATGCCTGGAGTCACTGGGAGCCTCAGCACTGCTTCTGCTTTCCTCCTCTGGCTTGGGTGTTGGCATGAGGGAGTCTAGGAAAAGCCCATAAAGATGTGAAATTATAATTTCCAGTATTTTTAGCTGGCCAAGGTCATTGTCATTGGCTTAATGCAGGTTTTGGGTCCCAGCTGGGGCTGAGTGGGTTTGGGTTTTTGGTACATTTGGGGTGCCTGGGTGGGGTAAGCCCATGTGGAGCAGCAGCTGGAGCCAGGATTCCTCCTTATGGGGCTCTCCAAGAAAACCCAACACCTGAAGAAAACAAAATAAAAAATGCACTAAATATCTTTGTTTTGGTTTGTTTGTTTAATTTTTTTCATGGTTTTGTTTGTCACTTGGGGTTTTTCCATTATAATTCTTTTAGTTTCAATATTAGAGATCACACACTGCATTATAATATTGGTCAGGGGCCCTGAATAGCACTGCCTCATGTTTTAATAATGTGTTTCAGCTGGACAATGGCTAATTTAAGATGAGTAGCAGAAGTTCACTGGGATCCATTTCCACGCTCAGAAAGAGAAGAATGGGCTCTGGAAATAACAACAAAAATAGTAACATGGAGTCTAAGTACTGTTCTAATAAAAAAATGAAAAATCTCATCAGTCAGGCCTTGCTTTAAATAGTCCATGTGCCGGAGCAGGTAGGAGAGGTTGGCTGGAGCCCTGCACACGTTGTGGGAGGGTGCAGTGTGGGGCCCAGGGCTGCTGCTCTGCTCTAAGGCTGTGTGTGCTCTTGTCTTTGCAGATGAAGACTGTCAGTGTTGCCTTAGTTTTGTGCCTCAACGTGGGCGTGGACCCCCCAGACGTGGTGAAAACAACTCCCTGTGCCCGCCTGGAGTGCTGGATTGGTGAGTGCCCAGAGCCCCAGGCTCCCCTGCTCCCCCCGACACAGAATCCAGCCCAAAATCCTGCATTGCCAGGGCTTGAGACTGGGCTGAGCACAAGGAGATGTGGGATGTGCTTTTTCTCTGGGTTAATGAAGAGTCCAGCTCCACCTGCTGCCATGGGTCATCTCTCCTGCTGTGCTCTGAAATGAGATACCATGGAGGAAAACAGCTGTTAATGAGCTGCTTTGCTTGCTTGTAATTGTTTTAGATTTATAAATACCTGAAGGAAATCTCAGAGCTGGGATCTGCAGAGCTTTCAGTGCCCCTTCCCTGCCTCAGCCAGCAGAGCAGTGAGCTCTGTGAAACACCTTGAGCTGGCTGCTCTGGGCCTGTTTTAATTGGAATCGTTCAGGAGACCTGGAATTGTTCCCAAGGATGTTTTGCCAGCAGTTCAACACCTGGGTTTGCTGCTTTCATGCAGCATTGCACTCAATTCCTAGGTTTTTTGTGAAGAAAATAAAAGTTCCCTTGGTTTTGGAGAAAAAAGTCTAATTATCAAGATGAGACAATTCTCAAGTAATATTAGAAGGAAATATCTTGTGTACAGAAGCTTTTTCTGTAGGAGCTGGGAATGCTCAGCCTCCAGCACATCCAGGGCTCTGACAGCCCCAGGGGCAAAGTGATCACTGCACAAACAGAACCTCTTCACAAACTTCCAGCAGGTTTTCTACCCTTTCTCACCTGCCTTGTGAATCACAGCACCTCAGGTTTTTAACCTGAAATGCTGCCGGAAGCCCTGAGCAGGCACAAGCAGGTGCCTGAGAGCAGAGCACAGCCCTGATGTCTCATTGATACACGAGCAGAGGAGCATTGCAGAGGCATTTAAATAAAGTCATTAGTGCCTATCATTAGCAAAGAGAATTTTGAAGGCAGTTTTGTAATTAAATTTTCAGTTTGTTTATGTACACAAGTGCTCCTTCCACTTCCAACCAAGTTGAAATCTCCGAGAAAGGTAATTGGGGAAATATCTGATGTTTTTGTGCCATCAGTGTGAGGAGCAGGGAGGTGCAGAGATGTCTGTGCCACATGTGCAGGGGCTGGGAGCTCTCTGGGTGCAGTTGCTGCTGTTCACACCTGAGCTGGGCTCACCCCTGGTGACAAATGGCCTCAGAGCAGAGCCACGTGCAGCTCCTGCTGCTCCTTCCACGTGCAGCTTTTATTCAGTAAAGAAAAATAACTCAAAATCCTGCCTTCGTCCTGCTCCATTACATTTTGTTTCTAACAAAAGTACGTTTGCAAAAACTGGGAAAAAAAGCCCTTCACTGATCTGGTTTAGTGCTTTTAAAATAATTGATATTAAATGGGAAAATATTAGCTTGTAGGGGTTTTTTTACAAAGAAAACTTGTTAATTGTTTAATTACATGTCCATGGTGTTTGAATAAAGCACATGGCCTGGAATTGTATTGCTATGTATGGATTGTGGTAATTATCTAGCAATAAAATTAACTTCTTAAATATTACAAATGGCACACAGTCTCTGCAAAGGAAGCAAAGGAAGTAAATGAAGCAGGATTTTGCATTCATCAACAGAAAATGTTTGTCATCAAATATTTAACCAATTTGAGCTCTTGTCATTATTTACAATAGAAACCTTATTTCATTATTAAAAGAAACAAATGCAGTGCCTCTCCTGTCTTTCAAAACAAAATTGTGTTCAGCACCTCAGTGAGAGAAATCTTCCACATGTGACAGTCTGTAATGGAGCTGGATTTTTGTTGGGCTGAGGAATTTGGGGATAATTTTTGGGAGTAAATTCCAGGAGGAGCAAGGTGTTAGTGAGTTTGATGATGAGAGGAACCTGCCTGGAAGCATCCCTGAGTGCTGCTGTGTGTTCTGTTCCCAGATCCTCTGTCCATGGGGCCTCAGAAAGCTCTGGAGACCATCGGGGCCAACCTGCAGAAGCAGTATGAGAACTGGCAGCCCAGGGTGAGTGTGGGCTGCTGCTGGGGCTGCCCTGCCTGGGGGTTTGTTTCCAAGGGTTTCCAAGGGTTTTTGTGTCTTGGAGCTTTTATGGCAGATATTCGTGTACAGCTAAGACAAGAGAATTTCCTTTTTGTGTTTCTCCTCGTGGCACATTGACAATTTTCAAATCTCAGCAGCCCGAGAATTTAGCAGAAAATTCAAAAAGCGCCTGGAATCAAAGAGGAGGAAAAGCATGTTGGAGCAGAGGTGCAGACAAGGCGTGTTTTGTGTGTTGTGGCTGGGGAGGAGGCCAGCTCAGGAGCAGCAGGCTCCCTGCGTGGGCCTGGTGGAGGCAATCCCAGAGCTGGGCTGGTTCCTGCTTCCTGCAGGAAGGCACAGCCCTGACACATTGCAAAGCCAAACACGTCCTGCTTTATTGCACTCCACAGGGCTCTGGAGCTTTCTGCAGTAATAAAGAGAAGTTGGTGTGCCATCTGCAATAAAACAATAGCAGCATTATTGAATTTCCTAGAGCTTTCATATAAATACTAATACATCCACTTTGGTCTGTTTCTTGGGGGCTTGGAATGGTTGAGGAGTGGATGGAAGGAAGACAGTTTGGGGGAAACCAGGCAGTCTGGAGAAAAGAGCAAATCATAACAATCTTCTGAAACAGCTGCTATTCCCAGCTGGAGCTGCTGCCATCAGCTCCTTGTTGGGAATGCACGGGAGTGCTGAGTGCTGCCATGGATGGTGGCAGTGGTGCCCGCTGTGTGACCAGTCCTGTGGCACTGCTGCCAGCCAGTCCTTCTGTTCAAACATCCCCTTTTTGCTCAGTGCAAACAGCTTTTCTGTAAGAAATCTGCACGAGGGGTAAAACATGAAAATTCCTTGTTTCTGGAAGCTCCCAGGCTGCACAGCTGATGGATATTTCCTTCCAGGTCTTATTGAGCCCCTTTCTAAATAATTTATCAGCTTGCCATTGCTTGAAGTATTTGTTCTGATTAAATTTAAGACTTTGCTTTATTGTTGTGTAGCTACATAAATTTGTGTGCTGCGGGAGTAGAAACCACTTCAGCTGTTGTTTCCTCTGCAAAATCCTGCAGTTAAGCAATATTCAGTCATTTCATGCAGTTCTCAAATGAAGATTGTACTGGGGGAGAGGGTAGGAGATGACAGAGCTGTGGGCTCGAGCTGGCTTGATAAAGGCTTCTCTGAAAAAGCAGAGTTCTTGCAATTCAGTGCAGATATAATTGAGATGCTGGTGAAAAAGTGGAAGGAAAACTGAGACAGCTCTACAATAACAACTAACACCCCCTTGGGCTTGGGGCTTAAGCTTTACTGGGCAGGGAAGGGTTAAAGCTGAGGGTAATCTGGAAAGAGGCTCAATTACAGGGATCAAAGGGGCTGCTTAAGCAGCTGAGGATGGAGGGAGAGAAGGGAGTGAAAGTGAAGAGCACAGGGCTGGTAATGCCTGGGAGAGGGGAAACCTTCCCTGGGACCTGCTGGGGAGGGAATGAGGGAAGGGCTGCAGGAGCTGGGGCTGCTGCTGGCAGCACCAGGAAAGGAGGCAGAATTGCCCAGAATAAAATAACTGGAGTTTCTGTGGGATGCTGCTCACATGCTCTGTGTTTGAAATATTCAGGTAAGGAATTGATCATGTTGGAATGGGGTTTATCTGGTGCTGACCCCATTCAGTAGCCCTGTGGGAGGTGTAGCTCTGTATTTAAAATATTTAAATAAGGAATTGATCATGTTGGAGTGGGATTTCTCAGCTGCTGACCCCCTTCAGTGCCCCTGCAGAACCCTGCCTGTGGGAGGTGTACCCTGTATTTAAAATATTTAGGTAAGGAATTGATCATTTTGAAATGGGATTTATCTGGTGCTGACCCCCTTCGGTACCCCTACCTGTGAGAGGTGCAGCTCTGTATCTGAAATATTTAAATAAGGAATTGATCATGTTGAAATGGGATTTATCTGGTGCCGACCCTCTGCAGAGCCCTGCCTGTGTGAGGTGCAGCTCTGTAGCAGGTGCCCAGCCAGGGCCCAGCTTTGCTGTGCTGGCAGGGAGCAGCAAATATTTCCCTTTTGTTGGGGTGTAAATTCAGATTTCTTGGCAGCACTGCACCTTGTGCCACTGCAAAGCAGGGACTTGCTTTAGCTGAAGAGTCAAGAGCCTTTGCAAACCGGGCTGTGAGCTGCCAGCGCTGCTGCAGTGGGATGGTTTATGGCATGCAGGAGCTCGTGGGGGTTTTTATGAGCAGGAATTACTGCTCTGCAAGCCCCATTCTGGCAGTGGGGCTGGGGAGCATGGAGGGGTTCTGCTGGCTGGGGCACTGAGTTCCTGCACCCTCCAGGCTGTGTGTGAAGGCCCTGTGTGCCCTGATCCCTGAGCCAGGCATGGATTTGCTGCCTGGCTCTGCTCCCCTGTTCCCCTGCTGCCCATCTCGTGCCCAGCCAGCCCAGGGCCCTGTGCCTCCATCCCTGTGGGTGTGCATGCAGCCAAAGGCTGGCCTTGGATGAGGCACAGTTTACATAATTCAGGACCTGCTATGAAGTAGTCTGGACCATATGCTTATTAAATTTGCATGAAATTATAGATTTTTTTTCTCTCTTGGTTAGGTCTGGCTTTTGGCCAGGTTCTCCCTTTAACTCCACACTGACCAGAACACTCACAGGAGTTTTTCCTCCTTCACTCCATCATTTTGCTGCTTCTGTTGGGATTTCAGTGGTGCACAGATCCCTGTGGCACTCCTGCACCAGCTGCTTTTCTCCTTTAATCTCTGTTGAGCTTTCCCAGTGCTGCCAGCCAGGCCAAAATCTGCAGTTCATAACATTCCTAGGAGAGGTGAGGATGCAGACACAGCCCCTGCATGGCTCCAGCTGAGCTGCTGCACTGGGATCTTGTGTGCAGAGACCTTCCAGCTGCAGGGCACCTCTCCTGTGCAATGAGGGGTTTTACATCCTCTGAGAAGCAGCTGAATGGAGTGTCAGGGGTCTGTAGCTCTGTGAGATTGCCCCCAAAGCAGGGATTTGCCATCAGCACTCCCTCTGCACCAGCCCACACCAGCGAGGCCAAGGGACTGAGCCTCCACGTCCCCCTTACACCCACTTGCCTGCATAAAACAAAGTCAATTACAGTATTGATTTTTTAATTCAACTGCTACGGTTTTGCCTCCCTTTTTCTTCTCTCAATTTCCTCCTTTTTCTCTAAGAGAGTGGTTGGGGCTGTGTTAATTCTCTCCTGGAAGGAGCTGATTTCATTAGAGCTGAATGGATTATACCTGAATGGGCATCCCTGGGGTGAGGGAGATCTCTGAGCCATGAAGGGGGATGGAAATCCTGCGTGGGGAAGGGACTGGGGAAATCTAGAAGACAAGATTAAATAAACTTTTAGGAAGCCTTTGGGAAGGGTGGTTGAAAGCAAGAGCTGGTGTTTGGGAATGCCTGCAGCTGGAACGTGGCTCCTTGGGCAGCTTGTGAGGAAAGGGCTTTCCCATTGCTGTCTGATCCAGTCTCACCCGTGTGTGCTGCCTCCTGTCTGCGCCAGGGAGTGCCGGTCTCTGGGGGCACATCGCCCACAATATGGATAAATTATCTCTTTTGTGGCAGGCCTTCAAGGAAACAGTGATTTTCTGATCAAACAGGCTGCTTCTCCCTCTCTTCTAGTCTGCTTCCCAACAGTTTTCTCTTCATTTCAAAGGAAGTACAGCCGAGATACTTGAAGTGGATCATTGAAAGGCTCTACCTTTTAGTGCATGTTGTCTGTTGTTGATGCTGTTGTTCCCCTCATTAGAGATCTCTGGGCTTTGATTCGGTGTCTGAGGTTTCATTCCTTCATTGCTTTTTTCTGCCTAATTAATTGGGAAGTTGCTGCCGCACATCAAAGGGGGAGCATTTCCTAAAGAGTAACTACTTAAGCATGAAAACTAATTGAACACATGACCTAATTATTGGTCTCTCAGTGAGTCATACTTTTCCTTTATTTCTGTAGAGTTTTTCTTTTAAAACAACAGCAAATACTAATTGCTCCTGCAGAAGAAATACCGTAGAATTCCAAAGGGGAGCATAGAAAAACTGGTTTTGGTCTCCAGCAGGAGATATCTGCAGATGTAGGAACATGCAAGAGGAAAATGAAAAGGAAGGAAAAAACCAAAAAGACAGTGTGACCTTGTTTAACAAAACCAGGTTTTCCTTAGAGGACTATGTTTGTTGGTTTTTATTTCCCAACAGCCTCTTGAATTTGGCAGCTATTTCAGGCTCTGCAAAATTCTGCTGTATCAATCCTTTGCTGTCTTGTTAAAGATCAACTGTCTTCAGCATAAACCAGCAGGGCTTTTATTCAGGGGGAAAAAATAGTCTGCCACAGAAGTGGAGTCAACAAGTCTAATTGTCTAATTGTGAAACCCAATTATTGCTGTCCTTCTGTCTGAAAACCTGTCGTGGTCAGAGTGTCACTGCCTCACTGAAAACCCCTCTGGAAGCACTGGGCCAGGAAAGCACAGATTTCAGGTTCCAAGTGATGAACTCACTTTTTAATGCCTCGGGAATATGGAGAAAATGAGGAGCAATGAGTCCTCACCTGGGGCTCCTCCTGCCTGCTCTGGGAGCAGCTGTACCTGGCAGGGCCCCTGGAGCAGGGATAACTGAGGGTTGGGAATTGGCTGTGCCAGGGAGGAGCTGCCTGCTGCAGCTCTGGCTACAGCTCATGTTTGAATGCTTTTGATAGTGAGAAAAAAAAACCCCAAACTGATAAATCTTTAACACAGCACTGAAAGTGGAAACTGTGAATTTGCAGCAGTGGTGTACTTAATACTGATTTTTCAGAGATTCTCCTGGAAAAATGAGTCACAAAAAGGGAAAACGTAGTTGGAGGCAGGGAGTGCAGTGGGGAATGTGTTCAGAACTGCAGGGAGCAGGCAGTGGTGCTGGGAGCTGAGTTGGCCATGCACTGCAGCCGCTCTGGAGCCAAGTCAGCCAACTTGCAGAGTCACTTCAGGGGGGAAATCTGAAATCCTGTGGGT